CCATCCAATTAGTCTTTTGGATGGTGCCCATGATATGTGGGATGTTCACCATCCACTTAGAGCTTGGATGGTGTCCATTATATGAGAATGCAACCATCCAATTTGGGGTTGAGATGGTATCCATGATGTGGGATGGTCACCATCCACTAACATGTTCGATGGTATCCACTATATGGGATGGTACCATCCACCATAGGGTTGGTTGGTATCCATGATGTGGGATGCTACTATCCACCTAAAGGTCGGATGGTTACCCTGGAACTTGGCGCATGGTGAACAAGTATTGTTAGGTCATCCAAGTAGTATTTCAGGAGGGAAAATATTTTGGTGTAAACAAATGTCCCCCACAACTTAATTCATAAGAGATTATGAACTAAGTTGTTGACACCAACTTGTACCAAACCACACGCATAAACCAGGAGTCCCCTTCCTTCATGTCCAAGTCACCCATTACAGTAATTTATCTCACTTCCAACTCTGACTCGGCCAAAAAAATAATTTTTGTTCTTTTTTTTTTATTTGGCTTATGGGAAAGACAAGCAAATTATTTAATCCTTAAATAGCCAAATATTGGCCGCCACCAATGCAACGTGGCTTTAATAATACCTTCTCATTATCTTATAAGAAAGCAAATCCCTTTTCATGTAGGGCACATGATCTTAACCCATATCCTACTAGCAAAATTAAACTCAATCCTATAAGGACACCATCTTCTTTTTCAAGTAGGACACATAGTTCCTAGAAGAACACAACCACTTTTCCTACTATAAACTGATGCATTCATCTGCCAACTTGGATGATGTCCTTCTACTTGAGCACTACCATCCAAAAACCAACTTGGATGGCTTTGTTACCACTTTATTTATTTTATTTATTAGATATTATATGGCAAGAGTTTGGAAGCATCACCACTCGCCATTAGCCCTTAGCAGTAACTAAGAATTCATAAGTATACACCCACTGCCAACTCCATTGGTCAAACCACACTAGATATCCATACATCATGTGGCTTTCTCCTTTCAATGGAATGGCATACTCCATATTAATATCAGGTTTCAATTTCCCAACATGTTTCCTGACACCCTTGCTTGTGACATCTTGCTTGTATGTTCGAGTTATCTCAACCAGTTCATTTGGTTTTTGACATCGACCTTTGTGGTTGTGAGTTGCTCTATGAGGTACATAATGCATTCTCAATTCTTTTGGATCTGAAGGGAAACCACGAGCCCATCTCTGCTTTGGTTGCCCCCAAACTGCTTCATGTATACTCTTCACATTACTTCAAGGGGATGGGTGCTTAGACTTTACGAATCCATTGGCACCTACATGGATAACTTGTATTTGTTTCCAAACCCCAAAGTCTTGTTGACTCTTACACTTAGCACACAACCACCTTTCACCATTTGTTTTACCAAGTTTTGTTGGTACATATTGAAACTTCTTATGCATGTCACTATGTCCACCCTTTTTGGTTGACATATTACAACCGTGTTCATCCTTATTTACACTCTTAAATTTATGCAAGCCATGAGTGGCTTGATCATACCGCATATTTCTTGACTTGCCCCCAATCCAGTTTTTGTGGTTGGTGACATGCCCCCCAGTCTATTCCTGATCATGCTTTTATCTTTACCCGAGCCATGTTCAGGTTGAGCTTTTTGCAAGTTTTCTGACATGCCCCCAATCCATCTTTGTTGGTTGGTGACATTCCCCCAATATATTCTTTTCCATGCTTTTACCTTTACCTCAGTCATGTGCAGGTTGAACATTTTGCAAGTTGTTGGACATGCCCCCTAATCCATCTTTGTTGGTTGGTGACATGCCCCCTGTCCAAACTTCTAGACACTAAGTTGCCCTGCTATTGGAGATTTTTTTGACAAATGGTTCAGTAAAGGATTATAACGAGGTGGGCCAATTTTTTTGCCTTTGAAATTCAACATGCGGTACCATCTCGACACATAGAAGTGTTTTTGGTAACCATTGTTGAAACATCTCTTAACTTGGTGGGATGACATGCCTCCCTAACAACTTAACTTGACCATTACTATCAAGTTCCTCCTTATGCTTCTCTTTTTTAATGAACTCACTGATGGTATGGATACCATGTATTTCACTTTTGATTTTCTTAGAAGCATGTTTACATGTACTTCTTTGCAATGGCTTTCGTAAGCAATCTCCAATTTTTATACCCTTACAAGAAATTGGGTTCATAGGAACATGCACATTTGAATTGCTTGCTTCTGGCAACAGTGTTGATGCCAAAATAGGGGATGACACCTTAGTGACATTATCTAATCCACGACCAATTTCATCATTGATAGATGTGGCTTCTTTAACATTTTTACCAAACAAGCATGACAAGTTGGATTGACCACTACATTTACCATGACATTATGGATTGTCCATCGAAATGGCCCGACACCCAACTTTATCATCAACCAATTGTGGTTGACTTCCTAAAACATGAACTTCGTCAGTGCTTACTGTTCTAATTTTCTCATTCACCACATATCTATCGCTCACCAACATGATTTTTTAGGTACAGTGGAAGCATCATGCATAATTTCATGCTTTGACATTTCAAAATCACAAACATATCTATCAATCATCCTATCACAGGCTTTATCCAAGCTTTGTTCGAGATGATCAAGATGCTTATGTATAGAGGCAATGTGAAGGTTTACATGTTGATCGATTTTATAGAGTCCAACCACTATTTTATGAATCTTCTCTATCATTTGGTGGAGTGAGGTCACTACTTCACTTGGATCTGGACTTGACCCCATTGCTCCAACAGTGTTGCCTGAAGTCTCTCCAACTTGGTCAATCTCAAAACTGACTGACTACTCCTCCTCCACAAAACCATGTGGAAGATCATCTTCTTGTTGCATCAGTCACGAAGCCATACCAAACACACGTGTCCCACCGGGCGTGCCAATTTGTTTTTTGTAGAAAACGGGGGGATGGGTTGCACCTGACTTCTGTAAAGATGACGATTGTTACTGCGGTCCATATCTCTTCAAACATTATTCGAACGAGGGTGTTTGGTGTATGGGGAATCTACGTTACCTTACACTACTCCTATGGAGATTCCTTGAGAGCTCCGCGACTACAACTAAGGCTACTACTATGAGGATCCTTCATGGAGGAGAGCTCTGCAAACTATAGAGAACATGAAAAAAGGAAAAGTTGAGACAAGTTGTCTTTGTGTTGAATTGTGTTTGGATGGTGTCCCTGATGTGGGATGGTCACCATCCAATTAGTCATTTGGATGGCGTCCATGATATGTGGGATGGTATCACCATCCACTTATAGTTTGGATGGTGTCCATTATATGAGGATGGTACCATCTAATTTGGGGTTTAGATGGTATCCATGATATTTTGGATGATATCCATGATGTGGGAAGATCACCATCCACTAACATGTTCGATGATATCCACTATATAGGATGGTACAATCCATCATAGGGTTGGATGGTATCCATGATGTGCGATGCTACCATCCACCTAAAAGTTAGATGGTTACCCTGGACTCGGTACATGGTGACCAAGTGTTGTTAGGTTACCCAAATAATATTTCAGGAGGGAAAATATGTTGGTGTAAACAAATGCGTAATTGAACAAAAGGTGGCATCAACCTTGTTATTAGTTAGCATATATAAACAGCAATGGGTTTAATTAATGGAAGAAGTAATGCGTGCCATTATCGACAGGGGAAGATGAAACCAGCTAACTAATTGAGGACAGAAGACAAGCTCTAATTTTTTAGGCCTAATTAAGCACATGGTATTAGTTAGTTAATTACAAATGGCGCTAACTAATTACGTGTGCGGTGTGCCAGTGAAAATGTGAATTAAAGAAATTATTTCGAGCAATTCAACTGCAAGTAACTAGAGTTTTGACCTATAATTTGTTGGAATTTTCGAGCCAATTTCAGTCAGTGATTTTAGTTAACCGTCTCAACCCACCGGGTTCCTAAAATCCATGGGCCGGGTCGGGCCGTGGATGCTTTTTTTTTTTTTTTTGTCAAATGGGCCGCGGATGCTGTTGAAAATTGAAATCCACCGTTTGGTCGCAAAGGTGCCGCCGCCGACGGGAAAAGATCGGCGATGTCTATCCTTTTATCCAACTTGGTGATATGGATAGATGTGTAGTCCTGCTTTGGCAAATTTTGGATTATGGAAGCAATCCACTTGCTTAGCTCAACTGGAACGACTTCTTTATTAGGTTAGCTAAATTGTCATTGTGGAAAACTAATGACAACTTAATAGCTTGTATTTAATGGTGGATTGATATCATCACCATTATCCCAAAAAAATGGTGGATTGAGATGAATTACATTTTTATAGATTTTTCAAAATATCGTCTTATTTGCGCATGCATTTTTTGGAGGGACGAATTATGGGTCATGAATTTGTCTTTTAAATTGAATCAAATTCGGAATCATTTATAACTTGGTATGATCAAAAGATACAAATGTCTAACAAATTTTATAACAATACGGCGATAATTTAGAATTATATTTTCGAATATGTCGACTCGTCGAGAATCCGTCCCAAAAATACCAAGTCGAACATTATCAAAAAAACTACAAATTAATGAATCAATTTGTCCCAACCCACACCTCATAATAAATTTTCCAACCTGTACCCGACCTATCAATGAACATGTATGAGTATCGAAATACTGCACTAACCTGCCCTTCTCATTCCCAATCACAAACCAAAATTACCCTAACGCATTTGGCATCCACCTTAGCAAAAACACTTATGTCTCATGTTCCTTGCTTTTTCCCCACTAAACCCAAATTTCCCCTTTATAAACATGTCCAAATTCTAGAACCCACACTTCATTTGGCAAGACCCTCCAACATCGCTCTGCATGCAAAACAGAAAGAGGAAGACAAAAGCATTACCCTCCCCCACTTCAGCTTTCAATCCTCTCCTTGTTTCCCCTCTCGTCGTTGATTTAACTATTGAATCACTTGTAAGGGCAGCAATGTGCATAGCAGCTTTCCTGTGGCAAGCGCACCCGTTGTATCCTCTGCTTCTCTTGCAAAACAGAGATGAATACCACAACAGGTAACCACTACTGAATTTTACTTCTCCAAAGCTTCTTCATTTGCAAATCATGATTTGCATATGAAACTATATTGTGCTAACGATTATGGGTTTGCTTGTTTTAGGCCGACGGCAGCAGTGGAATGGTGGGCAGAGTACGAGGGAATTGGTATTTTAGGAGGAAGAGATGTTGTGGCTGGTGGAACGTGGATGGCTTGTTCAAGAGATGGCAGAGTGGCCTTCCTCACTAATGTTCTGGAGCTTCACTCCATCCCAAAAGCCAAATCTCGTGGGGAGCTCCCTGTTCTTTTCCTCCTGGTAAAACATGGATGGATGAATATACATACATACTGGAATCAGTTTTGTTCATGTTGGAGTCTAGAAGATGAGTTTTTGTCATTTTCGCAATGCAGAGTTCTAAGAGTCCGAGGGAATTCGCGGAGGGATTGGCGAAGGAGGCTCATTGCTACAATGGGTTCAACTTGATTCTCTCAGACATTTCGTTGAACACCATGGTGTACATCTCCAACCGGCCGAAAGGTGAAGCTGTTGTCGTTCAGGATGTTTCACCTGGCCTCCATGTCCTCTCCAATGCAAAACTCGACTCTCCCTGGCCCAAGGTCAGCTTTCTTGTTCTGCTTTTGCTGATTCCTTCTCTTAATTTCGGAGTCAAAATGGATTGACAGTGGATGGATGGAGGAAATTAAATTGCAGGCGCAGAAGCTGGGACAGGGCTTCAAGGAACAGCTAGTGAAGTATGGAGAAGGGGAAGTTCGTGTGAAGGAGATAGCAAAGAAGCTGATGAGGGACAGAGTTAAAGCTGACAAAAACAGGTTGCCTGGCATTTGCCCTGTGGATTGGGAGTTGGGTTTGAGCTCCATTTTCGTTGAAGTTGACACCCCATTGGTAAAAACCATCATTAACTTATACGCTTTTGATTGCTCGAGATACGAGAATAAGACGAGAACATAAGTCACATCGAATTATTAATAACTGGTAGTCCTGTACCGATACATAGTCTTTAACAATGTGTTATGACATCGCCATTCAACAGTTGGGCTGGTCGATTCAGTTTTATTGAATCGGTTAGGCATGTGGGAGCTATTAGGTGATAACTAATCTCGTGTGGGTTGATCATTTCAGGGACGTTACGGCACGAGGAGCACTATTGCTTTGGCTGTGGGGAGAAATGGGGAAGTTGGCTTTAACGAGACCTACTTGGAAGATGGAACATGGAAGGAGAAAACTGTGAATTACAGAATCCAAAGCCAGAAGCTCAGGCAGCTGATGGACATTTGATTCGAGTTACTCAACACTACTGCATCGTACTAAATAAGAGATTATGATGATTTTGCCTGCGGATCATTCTCATGGTTCCTAGAAACTTGACCTCAAGTCATGTTTGTAACCTGTGTATATCCAATGGCGTAGACACTTGAAGTCAACAAAGATCTTTGAATAATTGTTTATTTTTGTTAATGTGGTTGTGGATTGAAATAAGATTTTATTTATTATTATAAACAACTTTATGAAAAGTAAATGGCTAAATTGCAAGTTTGGTCACTTGAATTACTAGTAAATTTCACGTTAGCCACTAGAATTACTTTATTCCATTTTTGTGGAATTCGACACACCACTGGTATAGTTGTGGAAGATTAAGTTGATCGGGTATCACTAAGTTAGTATACTTCTGTCGGCAACAACTAATTTTGCGTGGGTTATCACTTTCCAGGGATGGTGTGGCACTCGGAGCACTATTGCTTTGACCGTAAGGAGGAATGCTGAAGTATGCTTTGATGAGACCTACTTGGAAGATGGAACATGGAAGGAGAAAACTTTTTATTACCAGATCCAGAACAAGAAGCTCAGACAGCTAAACAAATGACTTTGCTAATTGCTGTTAACAGACCCAAGTCCTTTTGTATATCCTCTTTTATTGTTTCTTAATTGTGCCATGTAAACCATGAAGGGTAACGTCTGTAGAGTAAGTGTTGAACGTTACTCTGGGGTTTGGCTTCTCCTCTGGGGTTCGGCTGCTCATCTTCTCTTTTGAGTGTTTATATGGCTGTGTGTATGGAACGGCAGCCATAACATATTTTTTCCTAATAATATCAGTAGCTCGGAGAGTTTTCACTCTCCCGTGGATTAGTCCTGAACACTTCAGGGATACCACGTAAATCCGGTTGTTCGTGTTATATTAGTTTAGTTCAATTTCGATAGATTATCATGGTATCAGAGCCTCAGGCAATGGCAATGGAATCTGACCGTCCGTCTGTTCGTCTGACGTCCACGAACTTCGCTCTCTGGGAGTTCCAGTTCCGTGTATTTGTCGAGGGTCGAGGTCTCCTCGGTGTGCTCGATGGCACGACTCCCCGCCCAGCTCAAACAGCCGCTGCCCAAGAGATCTCCACTTGGAGCCAAAACGACGCACGCGTTCGTTTTTGGTTACTCAATTCTGTCGATTCTTCCACATGTTTGAGTCTCCGTCTCTTCCCCACTGCCAATCGGATGTGGCGTCATCTTGCTGCCACATATTCGACGGTGAACACAGCCCGTCAATTCGAGATTCAGCTCTCCTTAGCTCGTCTAGAGCAAGGCGATCGCACGGTTACCGAGTACTTCAACCTCGCCCAAGAACTCTGGACAGAACAAGACATCTTGAGCGCTGCCCTCCGTACAGAACCAGCCTCTGAAGATGCGCTCGCCGAGCGTCAGCAAACTCGCCTTCTCACCTTCCTTATGCGACTTCGACCAGAGTTTGAAGCCATCCGCTCCAGCTTGTTGAACAAAGACGATCTTCAATTTGATGGTCTCCTGTCCCATCTTGTACGTGAAGAAATCCACCTTCGTACGCAGTCACAACTTGATCTCCATCCCAATGAGGGAGAGACTGTCTTTGCTGCTGTTCGTCGGCAAGAACCCTCTGTTTTCGCTGTTCGTCCTCAATTTCAGAATCGAGGTATGCTGTCTGAGCTTGAATGTCACTTCTGCCGTGAACGTGGTCATCTCAAAAAACATTGCAGGCGATGGAATCACTGTGTCTACTGTAAGCGATCAGGACATATTGTCCTTGACTGCCGAACACGACAACGACAAGAGGGCCGCACCGCAGCAGGAGGTTCCGGCGGCGCAGGTGGATTCACAGGTGCAGCCTCCTTTTACGATCGCGGTGCCACAGGAACCGGTCCAAGAAATACTGGGCCGAGAGAATTTGGGCCACGCGGGGTTCGTCCGCCGTCTGCTGGTCACGTAGCCCACTCCTCCCTTCAGCTTGATGTCGGCAGCAGTAGCAATAATTCCTTCTCCCCAGAATCAGTCGAACAACTTGTGAATGCAGCCATTCAAAGGTCGCTACCCACCGCCATCACGACTGCGTTTTCTACTCTTCAGGGTACAGGTAATTATTCTCCTTGGTTACTGGACTCAGCCTGCTTCAATCACATGACCCGTGATACGACTAGCTTAAGCAACATTGTTCCTATCAATAATATGTCGTTAACTGTCGCTAATGGTGATCATCTCAAGGTTAATGGCGTGGGTATGTTGAATGATAAGAAATTATATCTTCCTAATACTCTTCATGTGCTTGAATTGATTCCCAATTTGGTGTCTGTGGGTCAGCTTACTGAGCAAGGTTATTCTGTCATGTTTGCTCCGACTGGATGTTCTATACAGGATTTGAAGACGGGGAGGCAAATCGGAAAGGGGAGTAAACGGGGAAGAATTTTTCACTTGGAAGAGCTCTATGGATGCCATCCTTCGTCGTCTGTCATTAGTCTTCTTGATAGGTCTGTCAGTAGTCCTTCCAAAACTTTGTCCACTACTTTGTCTTCACAGTCTTCGTCTATCGGTTTTTCTAGTTTGTCGAATAATGATGTATGGAATCTTTGGCATTCTCGCCTTGGACATCCTCATTCTAGTCGTCTTGAAATGATGTTTCGCCACTCTTTACTTGGCAAAAGTAATATTAGTTCCTCTGGTCAACATTCCTGTACAAGCTGTGTGGAAGCCAAAACCATTAGTTCGTCCTATCCTTCTAGTACTACTATTATTTCTGAGCCTTTTCATATCATTCATACGGATCTCTGGGGTCCTTCCCCAGCGACTTCTCGTCGAGGTTTTCGCTATTTCGCCCTTTTTGTTGATCACGCCACTCGATTCACGTGGGTCTACTTTCTTCGTCTCAAATCTGAACTAAAATCTGTGGCCACTGATTTTTTGAAAATGATTCAGAACCGATTTGGTCGTACAGTCAAAATTATTCGTTCTGATCCCGGTGGTGAATTTAGCTCATTTCCATTGTATGATGTGTATCGCTCACTTGGAATTCTTACACAACAGTCTTGTCCAGGTGTTTCTCAACAAAACGGCTTAGTTGAACGAAAAAATCGACATGTTATGGATCTGACTCGAGCCCTTCTTCTAGCATCCCATGTCCCTGATCATTTTTGGCCCGAGGCTGTAGCTACTGCAGTTCGACTAATTAATTATCAAATTACCCCCGTTTTAAAGAATGTTAGTCCCTTCTATACTTTGTATTCCCGTCATCCTAGCTACTCGAGTCTTAGGGTCTTTGGGTGTCTGTGTTTTGTTCTTCTTCCAAAACGTGAACGGAACAAGCTTTCTTCTAAAACTGCTCGATGTGTCTTTCTTGGGTATAGTGATATTCATAAAGGCTACTTGTGTTATGATCAGTCATTACAACGTATGCGTATTGCTAGCACAGTTGTCTTTTTTGAAAATATCATGTTTTATCCTCACACGTCCTCTTCCAAGAGTTTCCTGGCATCCACTCCTTCTCTTCCAATTTTTGGTGATGACTATGAAAATTTCTTCCCCACCATGGATCCACCTGATCCTCCCCATGCCGGTTTGTCCTCCCCAGGGCCGTCCTCCTCTATGCCCTCTACTGCAGCTACATCTTCTCCGAACTCGTCCACTTCCTCCTCTGCATCATCTACTGCCGCCACATCCTCTCCCAGCTCATCGACCACGCACGATTCCTCCAGCCTTTCGTCTGCCTCCTCTTCAGCATCTAGTTCCTCCTCTGATGCCCCACATTCTCCGGCTTTGGACACCAGTCCAGCTCTCCGACGTTCCACTCGGGCCACTCGAGGTATCCCACCTCCAAAGTTCAACGATTATTTTGCTCATGGTGTCATCTCTTTTATCGTACCCACCAGATATCGCCAGGCTCGTGGTCATCCAATGTGGGACGCCGCTATGCATAGGGAGTTGGAAGCTTTGCATGCTAATAACACATGGACCTTGGTGCCGCGCCCTCCTTCCACTACTTCGGTTGTTGGCTGTCGTTGGGTCTATACGGTTAAGATGCATCCTGATGGGACCGTGGATCGTTACAAAGCTCGGCTGGTTGCTCAGGGATTTACCCAAGAGTATGGTGTTGATTATGGTGAGACCTTCGCCCCCGTTGCTAAAATGTCCACCGTCCGAACATTGTTAGTCGTTGCTTCTCTACAGAACTGGCCTCTGCATCAATTAGACGTGAAGAACGCCTTTCTCCATGGTGACTTGGAGGAGGTGATCTATATGGAACGTCCTCCGGGCTATACTTTGGGTACTCCTGACCAGGTTTGTCGTCTGAATCGTTCCTTGTATGGGCTCAAACAGGCACCCCGTGCTTGGTTTGACAAGTTCCACTCTACCATTTCTCAGCTTGGATTTCGTCAGAGCCAGAACGACCCGTCTCTTTTCACTCATACTTCTCCTGCAGGAATTGTGGCTCTTCTGCTTTATGTGGATGACATGGTCATCACTAGTTCTGATTCTCAAGGTATTCAACGTCTTAAGGATGGTCTTAGTGCGGCTTTCAATATCAAGGATTTGGGTACTCTTTCATATTTCTTGGGTCTAGAGGTTGCTCGAGATTCGCGTGGTATTCTCCTTAGTCAGCGCAAGTACATATCCGATTTACTTGATGATCATCGATTTGCAGACTGCAAGCCGGTTTCTACGCCCATGGAGTTGAATGTCAAGTTGGGTCGAGATTCCGGTGATTTGTTACCTGATGGTACAACTTATCGTAGTATCGTTGGCAGTCTGATTTACTTATCTGCCACTCGTCCTGATATTTCATATGTTGTTCAGGTTGTTAGTCAGTTCATGGCCTCACCTCGTACCGACCATCTTGCTGCCGTACATCGCATACTGCGTTATCTACAGGGAACCAGAGATGTGGGTCTTCCCTTTCCATCTACTGGTCTTCTACATCTGCAGGCTTATTCCGATTCTGATTTCGCCGGTTGTATCGATACTCGACGCTCCACTACAGGATGGTGTATACAGTTTGGTGATTCGTTTATTTCTTGGCGGTGCAAGAAACAGGATAAGGTCTCGAAGTCCTCGACGGAAGCTGAGTACCGCGCTATGTCTGATGCTACTTCTAAGCTCGTATGGATACGACGCCTTTTGGGAGATTTGGGTATTGAATGTCCTTTGCCGATGGATCTTTTCGTGGATAATACTAGTGCTATCCGTATTG